AGGGAGAAGTGGGGGAATAGATCATTCATTCATTCATTCAGCAGTTATTCCCTGATAAATGACTACCGGCAATTACAATAGCTTACATTAAGAGAACACATCGTGATATTTAAAATTTATTACCAATCCAGTATCTATTTGATTCTTACAACAAACTTTTGTAGTAGACATGAGACTATTTGTTAGGGAACCATGCAAGGAGGTAAAGTGATTTGTCCAAGGTCATGGGCGTAGAAAGGGCAAAGCTGGAAGCCAAGGCTTCTATTTTCCTGTTTACACTGCTGTTCTAGGTTACAAGGGAGGTGGGGTTGGGAAGGATGAGCTGTGTGTGAAGACTAATATTTACTAAGCAACTATTATGTGCTAGAAACTGCACTAGGTATTTATGGATACTGGCACAGATAATCCTGAACACAACATTGTAAAATGAGATTTTTTTTTTTTTTTTTATGAAACTGAGACAACAGGGACTGAAAAAGGTGAAAAATGTAGCCCAAGGTCCCAGAGCAAGTTAATAATTGAACTGCAATAGAATCTAGGACTCTTTAATTTCATAGCCCCTGTGCTTTCCTGTGCACTAGACTGATATTTTAAAACCAAAAATGCAACAAATATTTACTGAATGTGATTAATTGTCAGGTGCTGTGGTTATAATTACAGGTCATATCTCATCTAAAGACATTCCATAGAACTTTGAAAATAAGTATATTTTATAAATGATTAACTCCAGAATGATCAGGTAAAGATCAGGGTACCTCTGGCTTAAAAGGACAAGAAGAGAGTTGGAGAAGTCAACAGAAAAAGACACACTAGTAGACGTTAAAGAAGACAAAAATAGATTCATAATGAGGAAAATCCTTCTTATAGATTCAGCAGTTACCAATGGAATGGGCTGCCCACCCCACCACTTCGTCAGCAGGAGTAACACTCAGAAGTCTCCTGGGCAAAGTGTCCTGACACCTTCTGAAAAGAGCACCAGGCCTCACTTGGCCAACTAATCTGTTGTGTGGTGTTTTTTAGAGCATACCCAGTAAAAGCCCTGACAAAAATAAGGAGTGTAAGAGTACAATGTTTTTATGCTGTTTAAGACAGCATAAAAATTGAGGAGCTATAATATTTCAAACTATACATTTACTATATTCAGTTATTTTTAATGTCTAGCCAAATAATTTTGAAGTGTGCTAATGAAACTTCAAAATCTTAACACTCATTTCCCATTATATTAGGAGGAGGAATTTACTGGAACTGCCCCACATAGGCCAGCCTGAACGCTTGCTTTTGCCAGCCAACACTTTCCATTACTCTGTTGTCTTTTCCTGTGACAGAATGACAATTCCATCAGTGGAAGAAAATTTCCCAAAAGGTCAGTAGGGAGAGCAGAAAACGACTGACACAGCTTCTGGGCTCCACAAAGAAATGTTGACGATAAAGTTTTGCTCAGAGATATTACTATGGCTGAATATTATGACATGTCATTATTAATCTTGCTTTGGGCCTATGCTGGGACTTGTTCACTTTCTAGTGTTACAAGCAGAGACTAGCTTTTAATTCCTAAGCAAATTTCATTGTAAATATAAAAACACAGTAATGATGACGTTGTAACTCAGGTGTGGGTTAAAGATGCCAAACAGAGGAATTTAAATCAGAGAGACCCTATGTATTGGGTCAAATAAGACCACACATGAAAAATTTATTATTTCCCTGTTAATTGGGTACAACAGAAAACATAAAAAAAGGATTTAAATTAAAAAGATGATGGCAAGCAATTGGTAAGTCTCAACCTCATTTATGTCTCACATTTGGGTATAATCCAGATTTTTAAAGTAATCATATCAGCCGGAGGATTTTAGGGCTGGGAATTGCAATGATTTGTGACACAAAGGTTCAACTGAAATCTGCTCCTGGAATCTTAGGAGGCTTTGTCTTGCTTGGGAAAATTGGCCATGAAGTTCCTGATGCCTTCATTTCATTGGAAATTGACACAGTCTCAAAGCAGACTAAAACTGACATAAGCTTGAAATTGTCTTGGTTTCAGATTTAACTTTATTCAGTTTAACATTGTATCTAATAATGACTGACAAGAGAGTAGGGCCATGCTTACATGAGTAAAATTAAGTCCCAAATGTCTACAAGTTCTACTAGCCATATAGGTAAGAGGCCTATTTGTAACTAAAATTAACTCTGACATCAAGACACGAAAATGTACAATGTACGAGTGAAACATTTATATTGATGAAGTTCAAAGCTGCTCCATCTCATGGGTCTGGAATGGAATGGCTAATAGCATTTGGGTTTTGCTTTATCAGACATATCCTCATGTATGTTTTGTTTGTTTGTTTCAATCCTGCAAAGCAGTCAAAATGATAAGATAGTAACAATAGTAAAAATAAAATAATAGGGTGGAAGAAGAATCCCTATTGAAGAAAACCACCCCACAAAATTTTTTTTTTTTTTTTTTATTGCTTAAAGTAATACAAAGGGTATTACATATGTGTCCATTTTATCCCTCCGCCCTAGACAGTCCCCTAGCCTCCCCTATCCCCCAATGTCTTATGTCCACTGGTTATGCTTATATGCATGCATACAAGTCCTTTAGTTGATCTCTTACCCCTCTACCTCCTGCCCCCCAACCCTCCCCGGCCTTCCTGCTGCAGTTTGACAATCTGTTTGAGGCAGCTCTGCCTCTGTATCTATTATTGTTCAAAAGTTTATAATGGTCTCTATTATCCATGAATGAGTGAGATCATGTGGTATTTTTCCTTCATTGACTGGCTTATTTCACTTAGCATAATGTTCTCCAGTTCCATCCATGACGTTGCAAATGCACCCCACAAAATTTGATTAATTAAATCACAGTTCTCATTTCTATTTTTTTCTACTTTCAGTTGCTTCTCTATTTTCAGACAGAACACTGCAAAAATTACTGATGAAGTAATGCTCCAGGCCTCATAACTATCCTTAATTAATTAATTAATTAATTAATTTTAATCCTCACCTGAGGATATATTTCCCATTGATTTTTAGAGAGAGTGAAAGGGAGGGAGGAGTAGGGAAAAGACAAAGAGAGAAAGAGAAACTCACATCGACGGATTGCCTCCCACATGCACCCCTGCCAGTGCCAGGGATCAAACCTGCAGACCAAGGTACATGCCCTTAGCAGTGAATTGAACCTGAGAAGCATTGGTCCATGGCCGGTGTACTAATCACTTAACAAAACTGGCCAGGGCACACACCCAGCCTTTATTGTGTACACGCTTTGCTCCAAGCTCATTAATCTCCTCCCAACCTCAAAATAATGAAACTCATTTTCTTCTGCTCCCATAACTTCCACTTCAGTTTCTAAAACACTTGTAGGGTCAGGACTAGTGAAATCTGCAGCTTTCCTTTTTGAGCCTTACTTGTTCAACAGCACTGAGCCTTACTTGTTCAACAGCACAATGGAGTTACAACGGAGTTTCCATAAAACAAAGAAAAGGGAGGAAGTACAAACAGTTACCAAACAAAGCCTGCTATGGCCACAATGCAGAGGCCTTCATGGGCTCCTGTTCATTTTAACTCATCTCCTAAGCCTAGACAGCATCATCTGTTCATATATTTGTTCTTGCAGTTAACCCAAACTCTCCTCAGGTTTTGGAATTATAAATAAATAAACTATTATGTTCCCCCTTCATCTATCCATTCATTCATTCGTTAGCTTTCCAAACATTAACTGAATGCCTTCCTCCCCCCCACCCCCCGCGCCCCCATAATTGCTAAGTACTGGGGCTAGGGATCAAGATGAAGAGATGGCTAAGATGTTGTCCTCAAAGAGAATTCAGGCACCCGATGATTTTGGTAAAGTAAAAGACATTTAACCACCAACTTAAGGAGATGTTCTGCCAACCTCCCTGGACCAGAACAATGCCTAAGACAGGTAACTTTGTGCCAGTGACAGCATCCTGTCAGCAGGTTTCCCATGAGCCACCTGCTTTGTTGAGAGCTTGGGTGAATTCATGTAAGCATGTCTGTAAAGCCATTGCAACTCTTTAGCATTGCCATTCTGTGGACCAGTATCCATGCACGCAGGCAGCTTAGGGCACTGGTGCCATGGTTGCTTCAATAATCATCATAGGAGCCATCGTGGCTTATTAAAGTCCTAAGACACAGAACACACACTTTTCATGGCTGCTTTAGAATCACTTTAGCAGCTTGCACTTCTGTAAGGTAATCATGTTGAAAAAACAACAACAAAAACCTCTAAATACTGTACAAGGGTGTTACTGCCTTCCCTCAGTATTTGCCTTTTCCTTTGCTCATTTGCATCCAACTTAACCTTCCTGGCAAACCTCAAGCCTCTTATCCATCTTCCCTGACTAGGGTGTGCTGCATCACCTACGGCACTTTAACTGGCATGTGAAAGTCCTGGTCGCATCTACCCTTTAAGTTTCTTTTTGATAACTGGACCTAGGCTTTGTGTCCCAGGGCACCTCACACAAATCCTGCTCACAGCAAAATGGTCAATAAATGATGCTATGCAAAATAAATGAGCATCATATGAGATAAATGTATTTTCATGACAAAGGTTAATATTGCCTTTGATAAATGACTTTTTCTCTCCTAAAAACTAATCTGATATTATTTTTGAATGTCTAAAATGTGTGAAATGAATAAAAAGATATGTAATCTTCTAGTACATCGATCACTTGGTTGTGATTGTTGATATTCAGAGACAGGCAGCCAGTATAGACTTTGGGTAGAAAGTTGAATATTTTGTACAAAAGATAATTAGTAGCAATG